GGCGGCAGGGATGGGGGCGCAGGAACAGGGGTGGGAGGTGTCTGTGGGGGTGGGGGGTCTGAGGGAAGGACCCCACACCTGAAGGCCATCGCCAGCCTCCCCTGGTCCGGAGTGTCTGGCGAGGATTTGGAGATGGCCCACTCCCTCCTGCAGGTCCAGGAACTGTGACCATCTCATTTCAAGGCTTTTGCTTGGGCAAAGGGAGAGCAGGGAAGGCTTGGGGAGCGGGGTCGGGGGGCAGGGATAGAGAAGAGCCACCTCGGTTCCCATGATCAGAAATGGAATTCTCCATCCCCCAGAATTCACTGCTGCCAAGTCGACAGCCACTGAGCTGGGAGTCCTGAGCCCTGGGTTTCCCTGCCAGGCCCACGACCCTGGGATTCCACCGAGCACCTGGGAAACGGGGCTGTTCCTGCTGGCCTGGCCCTCGGGGGTCATGGGGACAAACGGTGTCAGGCTAACGGAAGGCTTGTGCGCTGCAGGGAACGTGCACAGCATAAGGGGGTGACTGTTGCATTGAGGCAGGACTATTTCACAGAAACTTCGTAATTGTCCCTCAAAGCCCTGTCCATCCAAGAAGCCTCTATTGAGCGCCTGCTGTGTGCTAGCACCGTCCCTGTTGCCGTCAAGGGTCTCCTGGTGCAGTGGGGCCCAGACACGCAGCGATGGCGGGCTTGGTGTCTCCCGGTGAGCTTGGGGAGCCCCGAGTACTGGCCCTGAAGCCAGCCTGGCCAGGAAGTGGTGCTGGGGGCCCCCAGGGCTGGGCTCTGCTGGCTGAACAGGCGGCCCCTGGGGAGGGGAGGCAGTCCAAGCAGAGGAAGCTCCCGTTCAGAAGCTGGACATGGAGAGGGCCCGGCTCGGTCACTTCAGGAGGCCGAGAGCTGGACTGGTACCACGTGGGAGAGGTAGGGCACTTGGGGCAGGGCCTCGCTGGCCTATCGAGGCTTCCAGGGTCAGGGGTTGTGAAAGCTGGTGGTCTTCAGAGGAGGGGGGAGGATGGGGCGGGGACTGTGAGGGCTGCCCCAGCAATATGCTCCCCACTTCCAGCAGCCTGGCCTGGGCTGGCCTCTGCCTGAGCAGATCTCATTCTGCCCACCCTTAGGGTCCATCCTCCTTCTCTCCCCTCCCCGTGGCTCACTCCCTCCTTGGGCTGTTCTGTGGCTCTCAAGTCACGTGTTTCACACCTGCCCTGGCCCCCCCTTCAGCTGGAAGCTGTTTCCTTCATCGGACTGGGACGCCCTGAAACGGGGGGATACCCGATAGCTCTTCCATCAGACGGCAGGCGGGGGGCTTCCTGAGACTGTTTCCTCCCCAAAGGTTGGAGAGCCCCACAGTGGGGCTGGTTTTCTGTGTCAGACTCCCCACAGCCCTAAGCAGAGGGACGATCCGGGAACCCAGGAGGGCCCCTCCCCGTATCCCTCTCTCTCTCCGGGGCCCCCATCTCCAGCACCAGCCTGTCCTGCCTCCATGAATCTTCCCGTCTCCCAGCTGCTGGAGAGCGGGAATGGGGTGCAGCTGGCCAGGAGGCTGCTTCCGCGCCCGCCCCTGTGCGGCTCCCCTTAATGAATGCGCTCCCATGCCCGCTCTCCTGCAGCCCCTCCCCGCGCCAGCTGCCCGGGCTTTCGATGCGCGGAGGACTCAGCCCCCGCCGCCCAGGCCTCTCTGTGGCCAAGTCCACCTAATCCTGTTGATTAATTTAACTCAGAGACTAATGGGTTCCGGAGGCGGGAGAGCATCATTGGGGAAACTGAAGTGAGGGATGGGGGGAGGGGGGCATCAGGGCTCAGTGAGTGAGCCCCCTTCACTCAGGCTGCTTTGGTCCTGCACCCACCCTCCACCCTTTCTGTAACCATCACCATCATCACCACCATCATCATCACCATCATCATCACCTTCAGCAGCAGCAGCAGCAGCCTTCATGTGCGTGCCCCTCTACGGCTCCAAATTATTCCCTCAGACTTCATTTCATTCCGTTCTCAAAGCCGCCCCGTGGGACACCCAGGCATGTATCACCGTCCTCCTCCTCACAGCCGGGAACACCGAGGTCCAGAGGGGAAGCCCCTGATCCAAGGCCACCCAGTGGAGGGGAAAGACAGAGCCCAGAACCCGGGTGTCAGGCCTCCCAGACCAGGGCTCCTGACTGGACCAGAGCTGCCCCAGCGGGTCCCCCACATCCTCCCAATCTATCCTCCCTCCCCTTCCTTGTCCAGAAATGAGCAGGCACTTACAGGCTGTGTGGCCTCCACCAAGTTGCTGAACCTCTCTGAGCCTTTTCCCTCAGTGTAAAGGAGCCAATAGCCCAGTCCGCTGTGAAGCTGGCATAGACCAAGAGGGCTCCCTTCCCCCGGCTGGGCCAGGGAGGCGGCCTGGAGTTACACAGTCCGGGTCCCTTCGGACCTCTCTCACTCTGGCTAGTGGGACAGAGCCTTGCTCTCCCCACTCACCATCCAGAACGTTGTTATGGCAACGGTCAACATCCTAGAGAGGATCCTTTCACCCAACAGAGGCCCAAGGGCCGTGTTGCCTTCCCCAGTCTGGGTTTTGGTCTGGGCATCCCTCTGGGCCCCAAAGACCCCAGGTCTGTGCTGAACAAGGGGCGGGAGGAGCAGGAGGATGAGGAGGAAGGAACCCAGATGCCACAGTGAGTCTAGAAAGCTGCCGGAGCTTAGAGGGCAAGGGCATTGGATGCACACGGGGCCCGAGCGGCACTGAGGCTGGGCACTGAGCGGGCACTGAGGCTGGGCACTGAGCAGGCACTGAGGCTGGGCAAGGCAGTGTCAGAAGCATCTTGAATGCATCCAGCAGCTGGCCAGTTGCTAACTGCATCCATGCTTTTGGGTACAGCCCCAGAGCCTGTTCTGTTATTTCCTTAAAAATTTACAGGAAGAGTGTCGGTCTGCGGACTGAAAGGTCCCAGGTTCGATTCCCGCAAGGGGCATGTATGTTGGTTGCGGGCACATCCCCGGTGGGGAGTGCGCAAGAGGCAGCTGGTTGATGATTCTCTCTCATCGACATTTCTAGCTCTCTATCTCTCTCCCTTCCTCTCTGTAAAAAAATCAATAAAATATATTTAAAAAAAAAAAAAAAAAAAAACTTACACGAAAGCACCTCCAACACTGAATCCAAGGAAAAACGAGTGCTCCCATAATTGGAAAATGAGCATCATGCCCTATACAGACAGAAACCACAAAAACAATGCTGTTCATCTTACTAGAGGCCGGACCCCTCCTTCTTAGGAAGAGAGAACAGCAGTGTTAAAGGTCAGATCCAACCCCCTACTGTCCTGGGTGGTAGCCACCAGCCACACCTGGCCACGTAAATGTAAACGAACATGAAATAACAAGAAAATTTAGTCTTCAGTTGCACTAGACAGGAGTCCAGTGCTCATTGCCACGCGGCAGATACTACCACGTGGAACCACGTGTGCCCAGGGCATCCCCCCATCTCGGCATTGCTGGACGACATTGCTGGAGGAACTGAGGTGGAGGCAGTCTGGGGTTTCTCCAAGGACAGGGCCACAGGTCCTTCTCACTCAGCTCCTGTCTGAGCTCCAGGGCCCCCCCTCGAGGAGGGAGTCTGGTGCCTGGTCACCAGCGGGCTGGCCTCCCTCCTGCCTGCCTGCCACACCCTACTACTTCCTCCGGAGGCCCCGAGGGCTCCCTCTCCTCACCACTAGCCAGAGATCCAGAGAGGTCTGAAGGGACCTGGACTGTGTAACCACAGTGAGTTTCGGGAAACAAATCCTTGCGATTAGTTGTCTTTGGCTCTGAGCCCCAGACGTGCTGGGGAAGGTGCCCAGGCTGCCAGCTGTGCCCACCGTGGCCGCCTCTCAGTGACGGGTTGACAGGCAGCCGGGGGAGGGCGGATGAGGGGGTTGGATCCGACCCCAGGCTCTGCCTTTAGGAACGAGGTAGGGGACGATGAAGGGAGGGGTCCCCGGCCTGTGGTTTCCTTGTTGTCACAAGCAGGGACAGCCTGGCAGCGGCCAATCAAAAGCAGGCACGACAGTGCAGTGGCCACAGCAGCAGGACCAGGGGAGGGCACATGGGCCGAGGGGCATTGCCCAAGCTGAGGTGAGCTCCCAGCATGGCTGCAGCCCTGTGAGAACACACCCACCGTGCCCTTTGACATGCCAGGCCTGTGCACATGCTCACCCCCTCCCCCGCCTGGAATGCCTTTCCCTTCACCTCCATGTGCCATCTCAGAGGCTGCATTAGGCTATTGGGGTGCGAGTGGGGAGGTTGTCCCTTGTGGGCGGGCCTCGGCCTATTCATGGAACCCATGTTTGAAACAGTTGAGTAAGAACAGGGGTAGAGACAGGACACTATTGTATTGTTCCCTCTGTCCCTCCCCCCCTCCCTCCCTCCCTCCTTCCCTCCCTCCCTTCCTCCTTTCCTTCATTTTTGCAATCTTTCCCCCAAATACAATAGCGTCGTTGTTTAAATGGTCCTTATTTTAAAAATACTAAACTACCAACAAGTATAAAGAAGAAAAACAAAGGTCCCGTCACCCGGCGGCTAACATCTGTTCGCCTCGGGCTGTAGTGTCCCATCCATACCGTGTCATCCACCCGCTTCCCAAGAGGGGCTGGTCTTTGCACGCTGGCTGGTAGCTGGCCTTTTTTGTACCGTCGGGATTACTCAGGTGTGGTTCATGTGCCCTTAAATCACCTCCTTCTCGGAGAATGTAGTTCTGGAAATGTGGACAAGTGTTTTTCGTCATGAAACCACCCCCGGACTCCTCTGTCCCGACACCCTTCCCATCCGTGGAAATAACTAAATGCCCCGCTGCAGGCGAGTCTCTTCTTTAAGGGGTGATTGTGCCATGAGGGGTTTAACCGGTCCCCCAGGCTGGGCTTGGGGGTTGCTCCCACTCTTCCTTCTGAGAAGCAGTGCCCACAGAGGGGTGCTCCCTCAGTGCAGTGACGGGCTGGGAGGTGGGTCCAGAGTACCCCTCTGTCTCACCAGGCCGCCTTCCCCCTCCCTCTCGTCTGGCTGCAGGGAACCGGCTGGACGAGGGCTCCGACGTGGAGTCGGAACCGGACCTCCCCCTGAAGCGCAAGCAGCGCCGCAGCCGGACCACGTTCACGGCCGAGCAGCTGGAGGAGCTGGAGAAGGCCTTCGAGAGGACGCACTACCCCGACATCTACACCCGCGAGGAGCTGGCACAGAGGACCAAGCTGACCGAGGCGCGCGTCCAGGTGAGAGGCGTCTCCGGGGTTGGCACTGCGGCCCTACCCCAGAGACGGGAATTAAGGCAGCGGGGTGGCCAGGGTCTGAGGGTTCACTGGGCCCCCGGGGGAGTTCTGTTGCAAGTGGTCTGAGGACCGTGAGACAAACAATGCCACCAGCAATGGATGCAGAGGAGGTGGCAGCAAGCATTGGTTGACTGACTGACTGATGGAGGGGGAAGCCAGGTGCTGCAGCGAGGCCTGCTGACACCTCTCCAGGCAACAAGGACTTTAAAGAAAAGATGAGAGGAGGGATGGAGGGAGAGATGCAGAGGAAGAGAAGAGGTCAAAGGAGGGAGAAAGGAAAAGGGAAAGAGAGAGAAAAGAAGAAAGAGGGGATGGGAAGGAGGGAGGGAGGGGGGAGGCTGAAGGGAGAGAGGGAGGAAGGGAGGAAGGAAGGAAGGGAAGAAGGAAGGAAGGGCAGTATTTCAGCCAGAAGAGGGGCTCAGAGAACAAAAACCTCCAAATCTCAGATGAGGGAGAAAGTAGTTTGGAGGCAAGTCTCTGAACAGGCCTAGCTTCCTAAGATGGGTAATGAGGTTCCCGTTATGGGAAGCATGCAAGCAGACTGGGCAGCCAGACATGATGGTTTCCTGGTGTGTTAGAAACACAGATGAGGGTGCCCAGACCTTGAACACCCCCTTCACATCCTCAAGTGTCAGGTCCCCAACCAGCGGGGTGGAGGAGGGGAGTGCGGAAAGAGCAGAGCCCGCTGGGGTGCAAGGCCTGGAGCGGGGTCAGGGCTTGCCTCTGAGTGCAGAGAGAGTGTCCCCCCGCTGGGGAGGGCTCAGGCTGGGTGGTGGAGGTGCAGGTCATGTCAGACAGCTCCCGTGGGACCCATACTGGCCTATCTTCTCCCTGAACGGGGTGGGGGGGAACAGTTCGGCAGGGGGAGGTCACCCCAAACTGCTCCCCTGGGGCACCTCCATCTGAGGCTAACTAGCCTTTGTTGGGCACCCCCTTGTGCCAGTCACAGGGCTTGGGCTTGTCATGCATGACCTGGCGGAACCTCTGACCCCCTTGTCAGCGTTGGCATGGCCACCCCCACGCTGTGGGTACAGGACTGAGGCTGGGAGAAGTGGCATGTCCAGAGGCACAGAGCTGGTTTGGGGCTGAGCTTGGCCTGGAGACCCCCTGAGACCTGGTTCTTACCATCCAGGAAGTAGAAAGGGACTCAGAGCTGCAATCTGAAAGCAATAGGGAAAGTCCTAGAAGCAAAGTGGCATTTAGCCACTCTAGGAACCAGTGTACCTCCCTCTACCCTCCCCACCCCCACTCCGGGAGTGGGGCCTTGGCTGCCTTTGAGAGAGACCCAAGGGGCAGGGCAGGCGGCAGCAGCCAGCTCATCTCATCGCCTCCCCTCCTCTCCGGTGATACCCGAGCCTGCCCCCTCGGCCTCCCTCCCCCCCTCTGATCCCCCTGCAGCTGTTCTCCTGGCACATTCCTGGGTGTTTTCTCATCCCCACGTCTGGGCCAAGGCTGCTTCCCACCACCTTGAAGCCTGGCCGCTGCTTGTAAAATTTCCTGGCTGTCAGGGCAGCTTTTATTGGCCCAGGGGACCCGGGAACAGGTGTCACTCAAGGTCCAGGGAGGGAGGGGGCTGGGAAGAGGGGGGACAGACATACCCAGAGCGAGGGGCCCAGGCAGACATCCTCCACATGCTGACTCCCCTCTCAGACCCTGGGCTCCCCCTGGCAGGGCAGGGTGTCCCCCTCAGGCTGTGAGCTCCCAGCCGGAGAGCTTTCCCTGCAGAGGGCAGAAGGAGAAATGCTAAAAAATAAAAATAAAAAAATAAAAAAGAGAGAGAGAATGAACAAAGGGTAACAAAAAATGAATGAATAAAAGTGGAGACAGGAAGGATGGGACGTTTGGCCCGGAGAAGGGGAGACTTGGAGGACATGGCTGCTCTGAGGCCCCGGGGCAGGACCAGGCCGGCAGGGAGATGTCTGAGTTCCAGGTAAAGGTCGGCAGAAAGGAGGGCACAGGACTGGGAGCCACAATCTAGGTTCCCCGGGATTCCTGTCTCTGACCATCGGCAGCACCTTTAACAGTCAGTTTCCTTCCTGAGACTTAATTTTCCGTCTGTAAGTAAAGGAATTTAACGAAATGGTCCTAGGCCCTTAACATTCTAGGACCCTGACCGGCCACCAGGGCTGCCTGTGAGGTGATGAGGTCCCCGTGACCCGAGCACTCAGGCAGCAGTGCCCCAGTCCGTGTCTCAAGCCCCTGGGAGGGTTCCCGCTGTGGGTAGTATGTGGCCAGGGCCTCGAAGTCAGCTGAGCGCTGCTTAGGTTTATGGCTCTAGAAAGACTTTAGGGGTCTCAGCATCTGATTCTAAGAGTCTATGGTTCAGGGATTTTGCAATCTTATGCCACTTTTTAACTTCAATTTTCTTTTTCAATCACAGTGTACACTCAATATTATTTCATATTAGTTTCAAGTGTACAGCATAGTACTTAGACAGTCATATACTTTTCAAAGAATTTTCCCATAATTTCAGTACCCACCTGGCACCATACATAGTTACTACGTTCCCCGTGACTAGTAGTGCATCGTGCAACATTGCACACAGTAGGCCTCCTGCCACTTCCTCGGAAGCCATCGGGAACCGCTAGCATGCTGCCGGGAGCCATGCTGCATCCATGGGAGACGGGAGGGACCCGTGCTGCTTCTGCAGGAGGCAGGCCCACCATCTCCTCTTCAGGCCTGCACTCACCACAGAAGCTGCAGGCCAGGCCCCTGTCTCTGTCCATGTCTGCTCCAGCTCCGGGGGGCCAGCCCAAGCTGGGCGTGGCAATGAAGCAAGCATTGACTGAGGGACTCCGGCAGGGCTGAGAGGACTGAGTGCCGCCATCTTTGTGAGGGAGTGATAGTTAATTTGCATATTACCCTTTTATTAGATAGGATTATGGAATCTATTCCCTAATTTGAACTTCACATCCCCATGACTATTTTGTAACTACCCATTTATACTTCTTAATCCCTTCACCTTTTTTACCCAGTCCCCCACCCCCTCCTTTTGGCAACCAGCTTTCATGCCCTGGGAGGTGGGTGGGATAGTGGAATGGTTGAGTTGTCTCAGAGACAGAGGCCTCGGTGTGAATTCCAGCTCCATCAATTACTCCCTTCGCTCTCAGTTTCCTCGTCTGCAAAGTGGAGATGAAGTAATAGGGTCTGAGGATTAAATGATGACATGGAAACACCCACACGTGCACACACACACACACACACACACACACACTTAGAAAGTGGCCAGCGCACGAAAATGCCATAAGTATGGGGTCATTATGATTAAAACTCCACCTGTTCTTGGTGGTCCCTATCCTGGCCACTCTGGAAACTCCAGGTTCATTCACCTGGCACTCATTTATTGAGCACCTACTATGTGCCAGACACTGGTCTAGGCACCGGGGATTTGGCAGACAGAAATCACTGCTGTCATGGAGCTGATGCTCAAATAAACAAGTCAGCAGGTAAACCTGTGTCAGCAGGGGTTTGTAACTCAAGTTTTTACAAATACTAAGATGGTAAATATCTGTGTCTTCCGATGGTCTCAGGCTCTACAGCAGTGGGTCTCAACCTGTGGGTCGCGACCCACACACAGGTTGAGAACCACTAGCAGGGTCGCCTAAGACCATCGGAAAACACAGATATTTACATTACAAATCATAACTGTAGCAAAACTACAGTTATGAAGTAGCAACCAAAATAATATTATGTTTGGGGGTCACCACAGCATGAGGAACTGTATTAAAGGGTCGCGGCACTAGAAAGGTTGAGAACCACTGGAGAGGGACTCGCTAATTAGTAACTTAAACCAAATCTTTTCACAACACTCCATCCCAAGTCTAATGCACTTCTATGCCAGGCACGATGCTCAACACTTGGCATTCATTATCTTCACCATCGTCACCACAGTCCCAGGAGGGAGGGAGGGAGATAGGATTGGTCTCCGCAGTTGGCAGGTGAGGAAACAGGAGAAATCGGGACTTTGGTTTTATTTGGGGCCAGTTTTCATGCCAATTTAGTGGCCCCGACTCCTTTCTCGGCGACTCCTGTACTGGTGAGAGCCAGCTGCTCTGGTCACCGGCTTAGAAAGCTGAACCTCATTTCTCCCCTGGGACAAAAGACAAGCGATACCAGGCACGCATAAGACCCCTCCTTCCAGCTGGCATATCCACAGGGGTGGTCTGGAGGCGAGGGGGTCTCCAGTGATCCTATGCCAGGGAAGGTTCGGGCCTTTACCCCACAAGGAGGGTCTGGCTCCCCATGGAGCCTTATGGCCCCAACCCTGGCAAAGTCCTCTCTTCCTTCCCTTGTTTGTTTGTTCTCCCATTCATTCATTCATTCATTCATTCAACAAGTATTGGGTGAGCACCTATGGAGCAGTGAGCAGGGAGCAAGGGAGGCAGAGCCTCTGCCCGCAGAACCTGGTGCCCGAGGAACAAAGAGAAGCAGCATGAAAACCAGGTCTTGTTGGCAAATTCGGATAAGTGGGTTCTGAAAAGTTAGGATGATTTAAGTTGGAGCCTTAAGTCCATCTGTGTGGTCTTGGCAAGTTGTTTGACCTCTGTGAGCCTCCGTTTTCCCGTCTGTGAAATGGGAATAGGAGGACATGTCTCGTGGTTCCGTGCACAGACAGGACTGTGAGGTGCCAGCACAGGGCGTGGAGGAAAGGGAGTCACAAAGATGTGAGGTTGGTTTTCCACTGACGCCTGTGTCCCCAACCCCCGTGACTGTGGAGGTGGCTTCCCCAGTCAAGGGGCCTGTGGAAAGAGCACTGTACCCAGAGCCACATAGCCTGTCACGTGGGCAAGCCACTCCCTCTCTCCGGGTCTCAGTTTGCTCATCTGTAAAATGGGGGCAATGATCATAAGCCCTGCTGGGAGGTCATGAGGACAGAACGGGACCGTGCCTATGACAGCTCTCTGCAAACTGTCCCCGCACAGGAAGGTGGGGGTGGCCTCCTGGTGGAGGATGCTGCCTGGACGGAGGGTGATGGCGGGGGCAGGGTGAGAGATGGGCCAGAGTGGGAGGGAGGCTTGTTTCAGCTGAGTCTCAGCTCTCCGCCAGGAGCCAGGATAAGGACTCCCTTCTCCACTCTCGACCCCACAGGTCTGGTTCAGCAACCGCCGTGCGCGTTGGCGTAAGCAGGCAGGAGCCAATCAGCTGGCAGCGTTCAACCACCTTCTGCCCGGGGGCTTTCCGCCCACCGGCATGCCCACGCTGCCCCCCTACCAGCTGCCGGATTCCACCTACCCTACCACCACCATTTCCCAAGGTGAGTGCCCGAGCCCACCCTGGCACCTTAGCCATGCCCTCTGTCCCTCTCTCCTCGCCCCTGGCTCCTTCCTTAACAGAGAAGGAAAAGCGAGGATTGTATATTTATGGCCATTTGTCAGCTTCCACGAGGACAGGCTATTAAGACAAAAAGGTGAGGTCGAGGTCCTGCCCTTGAACTTCTTGGCTCTGCCACAGAGCATCCAGGTGAGGATTAGCAAGGTCACCTCCAGGTCCACATTGGGAGCAGAGCTTCTCAAACTGTTCAGTCACAGGACTCTCCTGGGTCCTATTAGGATGCGGAAGAGAAGGTGAGCTTTGCAGGAGGAGAAAGGTTCCTCCCCTCCCTCCTTGGATCCTGTCTCCACTTCTGCCCTCCCTCTCCACCCCGACCCCCAGCACACAGTAGGGATCCCACTACCTGACATCTGCTTCATGAAGCCCTGCTGGCCTCCTCTTAAAGGGCTGGCAGGCTGGAGCTCTGGAGGCTGAGGAGCAGGGGGATGTCTCAGGTTCTTGATGAGAAACCAAACCTTTGCCAAGGAGGATGGTCCCGTCCACTGGGAGGCTGCACGGAGGGGCACTGATGGAGCGGAATTGCAGCCGAGCAGCTAGGAACAGATGCAGCAGTGCAAACCTTGACCACACCGCTCACTAGCCTGTCTCCTCGCACAAGTGCCCCAGCCCCACCCCCGAACTTTGGTTTCTTTATAACATGGGAACCATAGCCTTGCTTCATACCCTTGGTATTTGTAAAGCATCTGGCAGGTGGTTGCTACTGAAGAAATGCTATCAGGAGAAGCCTGGAGAGATTGACGGAGGCCTGACTCAGTCCAGACGAGTTACTGAGCGTGCACCCAATGGGTGCCAGGCGCTGGGCAGCAGGGCCGATGCAGTCGCCTAGAGGTGGCCTGGCAAGTTGATTGGCTGTCTGTCCAGACTTGGCCAGTCCCTAGTGCCCTGCCCAGAATCCAGCTTGTCCCCTTTCAAGAGAAGATGGTGCCTTCCCTCCACTGGGTGGGCACTGGGAGGAGGAGGCTCATAGCTCGCTTTCCAAACAGGAGGCTCTTTCCCTCCCTGAGGGCCGCCCCCCCCCCTTCAAGGTGCGGCCACTGGTTCAGCCCGCTCTTGGGTCTCTCCACAGATGGGGGCAGCACCGTGCACCGGCCCCAGCCCCTGCCACCGTCCACCATGCACCAGGGGGGGCTGGCGGTGGCCGCCGCGGCCGCGGACAGCAACTCCGCCTACGGAGCCCGCCACAGCTTCTCCAGCTACTCCGACAGCTTCATGAACGCGGCGGCGCCCTCCAACCACATGAACCCCGTCAGCAACGGCCTGTCTCCTCAGGTAGGCGGCCTCGCCCCTCTGCCCAAGGCCCCAGGGCCAGATGCCCACCAGCCCCGCCTTCGAGGGCTCTGGGTGACACAGGCTGGCTCTTTGTGCTCTGTCACCTTGGGTTTGTCTTCTCAAGCTGCAGGCCTGGGTGACCCAGCGGGTGGATGCAGAGAAAGAGTTTGCATAACAAGTGTCCATGCTTCTTGTTTCTCCCTCCCCACCAAACAAACAAATATTGTTTTACAGACGTGGTCCTGGCCCCAGACCACCCAGAGCTTGTAAGCCTGGCCCACCACCCACCTCGTGGCCGTTCAGTCCATAAAAGTCGGGCTTTTTCAGCCAGTGCCTTGGAGGGAACCTTGCACAGCTCCTTTGGGACTTGACTGTGTTTGGGGCTTGTTCTGGAACCGGGAGTCCTCCCTGGATTCCATCCTGTGCTCCATCTCCCGCCTTCCACAGGAGTGGCCTTCAAACGAAAGGCAGGACCATGTCCTGTTGGTGGAGAGAGTGTGGCTGGGGTGCTGCCTGGCACCCTGCTCCCCTTGGGTCTTGGGACTGTTCACTTGCGTGTGACTGGTTGCTGGTTAAGTCACTCATTGCCTGGGGGTGCTATTAGAAGTTGGACTTTCAATGCTGAGGCTGATGGTGGTTCGCGGTGGGTTTGGGGCACAGGACTCGGTGATGCTGGACGTTCTAGTGAGTGTGAGGAACCCACGAGTTCGTTCTTGTAGCCACAGCAGGCGCTCGGGTGGATCTGCACCAGAGAAGGGATTAAATCTGAGACGGGTTTTACCCTCCCCGCTCCTGGGTCACCTCCCTCTGGTCTGATGCAGATGGAACCGCTGTAGTGCGATAGGATGGGGAAGACTTGGAGGGGGTTGAACCCAGCTCCGCTGCCCAGGTGTCAGGCAAGGTAGCATCCTTGAGCCTCAGCTCATCCCTGTTACACAGAAGAGTGTCACTAACCCAAGAAAGATGTTCGTCACACTCGCGTGCTAATAGGTCAGAGCACCTAGCACAGGGCTCGGCATAAAATAGGGCCAAGGAAGCTTTATTTCTCCTTTCCTTTTCCCCTACCCCCATCCTCCCATCATTGCCAAGATAATGTAATCAGTATAGAAAATGTTGCCTTAAATAAAAGGGGGCCAAAGGGTAGGTCAGCTACAACCCCAGCCACATCTATCCAGCTACCCATTTTTGTAAATAAAGTTTTATCAACACACAGCCTTTCCCACACTCCCAAAAATGTTAATTCTCTGCGTGTTTTTGATTGATTCCTGTTTGCCTCTATTGATGTGGACTGTTCAGAGCTAATGGCATTTTAGTTCCATCATTTACTTGTGGGTAAGTTCCCTTCTCCTCTCCATGCCTTGATTTTCTCATCCATGAAATGGGGACGATTCAGCACCTACCTCCAGGGTCCCTGAGGACTAAGTGAGACGGTCTGGGTAAAGCCCTTGGCCCAGGTCCAGGCAGAGGTGAGTGCCGGGCAAACATGCAGCTGAACGCAGAGCCCCAAGTCGCTGGGGAGCCACATGGCGGGGGCTGATGCAGACCAGTGGAACCCAATGCAGCTGCTCTGGGATTCCAGGCCATGACCTCCTGGGTCTCATTAAGGCCCAGGCCTGACTGGCCCAGCTCTCCTTCCAGAGTCAGGAGACAGACACAGCAGGATCCCTGAGCTGGTGGGGAGGATGCTGCAGAGACACGAGGCATCCACCGAGAATGTGGTCCTGGTCTGGTCTCCAACAAGACAAGTCGGAGGAGCATCGCTTGGGGATCGGAGGAGGGCCGTTGAGAGGACGTGGCCAGCCGTCTGGCTTGACAGATAGAGGGCCCAGGACACATTGGCAGGACCAGGGCTGAGTTCAGGGCACCTGGCTCCCTGACCACTGCTCTTCCCAGTCTCTGGTCTCAGTGTGGGCTGAGGTTTACCCCCCAAGCAGCACTTCTGCCAAAGGCAGAGGAAAGATGGGGAGACCAGGGCCCCTGGCAGCGTAGCTAAGCAGGGGGTTCAGCAGAGAGGATGCTGTGTGCACTGTTTGGGCTCAGAAAGGAGCCCCAGGGAGGGAGAGAAGAGGAGGAACGGACCCACCCACATGAACAGCCAGATCCAGCCCAACCCTCAGCAGCTCGCTCCCCGGAGAGGCTGGAGGTGTGATGGATTGGGCGGACTTCGGACACTCGCCCAGAGGTTCCCACCAAAGGTGTGAGGATGGATGGAGGGTCTGACAGGGGCAGAGGGGACTGGGAGGTGAACAGCTGCCGGAGGGAGAGGGGGGTGCCTGCAGGGCGGGCCAGGGGCAGGCTGTGTGTGCTTCTGTGCGCTGATCCTCCGGGGTTAAGCTGCGAACACTTCCTGAAGGAAGGGGGCGGCGAGGGGGTGCTGGGTCTTGTACAAACGTTCCGGCATTTCTGCGCTCTGTGGCCGGCACGCCCCTCCTCCATCTGAGCAGTCCACTGACATCATCACACATCTCTGTGGTTTAGGGGGGAGGAGGTCTGGTCTCCCCAGCAGGAAGAGCCAGGGAACCTGGGAGAAAAGTAGGTGATAGGCCCCTCTGGGATGGCAGGTCCCTGCCGCCACTGCTCAGGTGGCCTTGGCCCAAGGAGGTTGCGCTGGGGGATGAAGTTGGGGGTCTGCTGAGGACCTGCTCGTCACACTGGCTGGCTCACTGATGGGGATGATGGCCCCTCCTGGAGTGCACCCCATCTTTGTCTCAGACCCAGCTCTGGAAGCAGGTGCTGGGCACCTCGGGGACTCCACAGAGAGACTGACTGCCCAGCAGAATTCCCTAAAAGCCACTTATTCATCTCAGCTCTGCCTGGCCCCAGGCTTAAGAGTGTTTGCGAGGTGCCAGGCTCTGTTCTAGGCATCGCCCAGGAAGCAGGAGGGAGCAGGCCCTGCCCCTGCCCCTGCCCCTGCCCCTGCGGAGCTGGCAGTGTCACAGGGCAGGCAGACAGTGAGTATCCTGAAACAGAAGTCACGCACTATGTGTCTTGCTGAAATGGACAAGGACAGCTAGACTTTCTGAGCCCCTGTGACCCAGACCCCGCTCAGCGGGTTTCCTGCCTCCTAATCTACTTCAGGGACAGACCCGGGACCCAACCCTCACCCCTAAAGCCTGAGCTCCTAGCCGCTCCCACTCCTGCCTCAGAAGTGCCCACACTCGCGGTCTCTTTCGGAGACTGGTTGGCAGCCAGAGGAAACCATCTCGGGAAGCTGGGCCCTTCAGCTCGGGGGAGGGGAAAGCTCATTCAGCCCATGTTACGGATGAGAAAACTGAGGCCAGGACTATAGGTTAGGGGATGACGGGCAGGGCTGACTCAGACAAGTAAGGCCTTCCTAGAGGTTTGGATAACCACGAGGCTTGGTCCCCTCTTAGCCCAGCCCTCAGCCACCCCAAAAGCAGCCATGAGGATCAGGCCCTCAGCACTCCGCACCTGTTCGTCCCCAGCTTTGTGCACTGGGCCCTTCTGGAGAGGAAACCAGCTTCTCTCTGCTGGCTGGCTGGAGGCTGGGACTCAGAGACCCCAGCCCACTCTGTCCTCTTCAGGGCGGGCTACTTGGAAAACAACCCAAGACAGCTTAGGCCAAAAGGAAGCTTTTGTAACCGTGATGACTTTGAAGAATCTAATACCTGCAGACTCATCGCTGCACTGGCTCAGAGCTAGGGCTTGTAAGCAGGGCACACGATTGGGGGTAGTGGGCAGAGAGAGAAAGGGGACACCTGGGCCTGTCCTTAGGGGTTCCCCAGCCCCTGCCAGGGGAGCTCCCAGTCTGAGAGGAGAACAACCCCTTGTCCCCAGATGCTCTAGTCCAGTGGTCAGCAAATATTAGTCGACAGAGCCAAATATCAACAGTACAATGATTGAGATTTCTTTTGAGAGCCAAAAACCGACTTCTGCGTATGGGCCGCGAAGTTTCAATCGCACTGTAGGTACACGCCAGCATGTGATATTTTGTGAAAGAGCCACACTCAAGGGGTCAAAGAGCCACATGTGGCTTGTGAGCAGCGGTTTGCCGACCACTGCCCTAGTCTGACAGTGGAGAGGGCCCAGTGCGATGGGGGAGGCAGGCAGCAGGCATTCATTCATAACTGCAGCGCTTACCGAGCCAAGCTCCTGAGCAAGGAATCAGGCACAAAGTTTGGCCATGTCGAAGGTCACCTGGGCTGGAGACCAGGGGCCGGTGCCCAGGGCCAGGGCTTTCTCAGGATGTGTGTGTGTGTGTGTGTGTGTGTGTGTGTGTGTGTGTGTCCGAGGGAGGCAGCTGGAGTTCCCTCACCTGTCCCCGCTGTTTTAGATGCAAAGTCCACCGGAGTGGGAAGTGGAAACCGAGGCCCAGAGTGGGGAGAAAATTGCCCCAAATCATACAGTCACGCTGTCAGTTAGTGGCTGAGCTGGGACTGCCCCTCGGCCCCTGACCCCAGCCAAGGGCTCAGCCACCGCCTGGGGGAAGGGGGTGTCTCTGTCTTGCCATCACCACCCGCTTCGCTCCTTCATCTTGTCCCACATTCGTGGTCCCCTCTGCTCCTCTCTGGAGCTTAACATGAAGGCACCGGCAAAGGGGATTTACATATTCATTTCCCCCACATGAACTCAGGGAAAATACCCTCGGAGTGTGCAGTTAATCACCAGGCCACAGTCACAGGAAACGGAGCCTTTTGTCTTTCCTGCTGGAGCCCGTAGTAATCCCAGTGGCAGCCAGTGTGCAGCGAATGCTGACAATGGGCAGCCATGAACGAGGCCACAGACTGTACCTGCGCTTGCTCGTTTAATCCTGGTAGTTATTGCAACCTGCATTTTATAGACGAGGAAACTGACGAATCCAGAGTCACCCATCCTTCCTGCATCCATCCATCCATCCATCCATCCATCCATCTATCCATCCATCCATCTATCCATCCATCCATCCATCCATCCATCCATCTAATTTAATCAATCTATCCATCCATCCATCCATCCATCCATCCATCCATCCATCCATCCATCCATCCATCCATCCAACA